ACACACACACACACACACACACACACACGAATCTCCAACTTCTTGAAGTCAGCGTACGTTATTTTGACTCCGACTCTCTCTCCACTCAAATCAATGAGACAGACATGCATAATGTACGCCTGTTCTGTTGTACAGAATTCTGCCCCCAGCCCGGTAACTCTGCTGTATACATACTTTCCTCGTGTCTTAGAACTGTTTGCTTTGATCGGTTCGTCACACTTGAGACGCTAACATTGTCGGAGACCGCTTGACGGCTTATGCTGACTGTTGACTATTTATTGAATAAAGCAATGGGAAGCATTGGCACACGTATTAAAGGAACATCATGAAAAGGTTGTATTTAGAGCTCCAACACAAGAAATTTATATTGGACTCTTATCGACAGACCCTTCTTCTACGTGATTATTAAAGAGAGTAACGACGTATGTAAGTAAGGAAGAAGAGAGATTAGGTAGAGCATGCAGGCCGATTTGTGGTGAATGTTGACTGTTTAAATATAAGGCTTTATGAAGTTTTGGCACACGTAAATGAAAAGAGAAATAAAAATAGCTAGAGAAAAGGGATTAGGGGATATGGGAAAAAGAGATTAGAGAATATGGGAAAAGGGAAGTGAGGAGAGGAGACAAAGGGAGAGGGGACGGAGGTGTGTGTGTGTGTGCGTGTGTGTGTGTATGTGTGTGTATGTGTGTGTGTTTGTGTGTGTGTTTGTTTGTGTGTGTGTGTGTGTGTGTGTGGAGAAATAGATAGATGGATAAAGAGAGAGAGAGAGAGGGGAGAGAGAGAGAGAGAGAGAGAGAGAGAGAGAGAGAGAGAGAGAGAAAGAGAGAAAGAGTATGAGAGGGAAAGAGTATGAGAGGGAAAGAGAGATCGAGACAGAGGCAGAGATAGAGACCGAGACAGAGACAGAAGAGAAAGGAGAAAAAAAAAGAAGAAGAAGAGAAAGAAAATCTAGTATCAGCAGCAGTAGTACTAGTAGTAATACAAGAAGAAGAAGAAGAAGAAGAAGAAGAAGAAGAAGAAGAAGAAGAAGAAGAAGAAGAAGAAGAAGAAGAAGAAGAAGAAGAAGAAGAA